CCCTACTACCTGTTCATGTCCCATCAAAATCGAAGACTTGATCTGGATGCGCGCCACAGTCACAGTCGTGTGGGAAACTGCCGGGTTGGGCCATAGAAGTAGAACATAGCACAGGAGTGTAGTGGTTAATCGTGGTGATTCCCTTTTGGGATACTGAGACACAAGAAGGAAGTTTGAAACTGTAGAATGGGTCGCGTTGTAAAACTCTCAAAACATTACTTTTCGACCTCATTGATCAGTTTTACTAATCACCAGCTGTACATTTATTGTACGGTATGGTTTTGCTGTTTTAATAAAGGTTAAAATTCCCATTGGAAACAACGCTGGCCGGCATGGCGCAGTCGGTTACTAACTTGATCTGCCACCCACGAGAACGAGTTAACAAATTCCAAATTCGAAATTTTGGGAGGTGGGGAGGGGGGGGGGCAGACGAGGCTCTCACTGTCCCTTTTTTCACTTCTTTCATGGGCTATTGGTGTTCTGAATGAGCCCAATGTCCCCGCTCTGTAAATTACTGGTTTTGTTTTCTATAGTAGTGTGTGTGGTTTCAAAGGCACTAAAAGCTAGAAACATTTGTGTTCTTGGGCAGAATACCCTCTGTTCCAATTTCTATTTCTGTGGATCTGAAAGCAGGAAGGGCTGTGGGAGGAAGAGGCGAATTGAAGCTGACGGTCTGTCGCCCCCAAGCAGGGGGAGCTATGATGGACACTGGGCGATTTATGGCCGTTTGATGGGTATGGCCTGAGATAAACCCAGGCTGAACCTTTGACATGCTGCTAGGATGAACTTTGCTGTTGTGTTTGAAAGATCGAACGAAAAGTTGTCGTTTGAGGGCAATGAGACGTGTGTGTGTGTGTGTGTGTGTGTGTGTGTGTGTGTGTGTGTGTGTGTGTGTTTGCATTTAAATATTTAAATGTGAATATTATGTGTGCCCATCTGCCTACCATGCAGTCCGTCTCTTCTCTCTTTTCTCTCTTGTCTGTGTATCTATGTATGTGCGTGTATCTGTCTGGGTGCAAAGACATGCAAATTTTATGTAGTGTGGTCCGGCAGAGATGAAGGTGAAACTGCAATTCAAAACGGCTGTGGGTGGTTGGCCGCTACTGTGGTGTGGGTTGAGCCTTCTTCCCTTTTAATCATCTGTCATCTTTATCCCACCTCCTTCCTTTCTTTGTGTTACTCTCTAGGAGCACCTCTAATCTTGACACTTATAATATAACCTGTTTGTGCTGCAAGTGCCAGCGAACTCCTACTTATTAAACTAAAACTCACCCACCGTGTGAGCTGACAATGTTTAACTGTTTTATCATAATAAGTTACGTACACTTTTGAGAAGAGGGTCCAGGACGCGGAAGTTTCTCACGGGAATGTATGAGATGGGCACAGGATTACTGACATCCCTTTGCGAGTCCAAAACGTAGCCGCAGTTTTGCCGGCGTACGGATGATGCTCTGTGAATGTTTTATGATGAATGCCCCTCCGTGGCGCCAAACGAGCACTATCTTCAGATACTTCTTTATGCATATTTGCTCATATGTTTATTATTCTGCAGGTTGGGATTCTCAACGCGAGCTTGTGAAAGCGACTGTGAGGGGTGGATTGTGGAGAGAGAGAGAGAGAGAGAGAGAGAGAGAGAGAGAGAGAGAGAGAGAGAGAGAGAGAGAGAGAGAGAGAGGGGGGGGGGGGTACTAATAGTCAGTAGTGTGTGTGTAAAAAGACAGGTCTGTGGGTGCTTTATTGGGAAATGTAGATTGTCTCTGTTAACTTTGAAGTGAAGTTTTTACATCGAAATTTGAATTTTAAAACACAGTAACCCCCAGAGTTATGGGAAAAGCAATGGGGCAGACCAGGGTCCTCTCTGCATGTCGCGTAGCTCGTAATTTTAAGGAGCATTTTGGCGGGGTCTGCTCTTGTTTTTTATGTTTGTTTCGGTAATTATGAGTTTCAATTTTTCTTTTCTTCACATGTATGTCTCCTTCGGGTGTGCCCGTCGTGTGGTGTAATGTTACCGCACACAGCATTCGGGCCGTGCTGTGAATGCTCTTTTTTCTCATTATCTTTTTCATTCTGTTCATTATTCTTTTGTGGCTTTTCGGTGTGATCTTTGCATATTTCCTGGGGGCCAGGGTGGTGGGTGGGGAAGAGAGAGGGGGATGAGAGAGAAAGGAGAGAGAGAGAGAGACAGACAGTCAGGCAGAGAGAGAGAGAGA